AAATGGCCGCTTGCGAGAATAATGGAGTTAATCCCTGGTCGGGATGGTATCTTTCGAGTGGCGGTGATAAAAACCTCATCTGGAATTACCAAGCGAGCAGTGACTAAGCTGTGCCTTTTGCCCCTTAAGGATGAAGTTGGAGTAGAAGCCCCAACTGGGGGGAGAATGTCGGGTCAAGCAGCAAGCAACTAATTTAAACACAACAATTAATAAGTAACTAATGTTTTGCTGGTCGCAAGCCGACTCTCTTTCGGCCGCTCGGCTTTGCTACTTCGGCGCTTATGGTTAGCGAGCATCCGCTCAGCCTATTCTGCAAGGTTGGCTCGACTCTCGTTCGTACTTTTACTGCGCTCGCATCCTAAATTGGATTTCAAATATTGTACATAAATCCTAATTTCATATGCGGCCCGAATAAAGTTTATAACGTTCAATTTAAATACAAAATCATTTTTTATTTACGGCATCGAAAACTCTCGATGACCAAACAACCCGTTTTTTTGGACTTTCTTGCACTTGGGAGTTTCCAATTCCTTGGGAGTCCAAGGAATTTCGAATCCGCTGAAGAAATTTATTTTTCCGAACTCTAGCCGATCCATATGAGAATTTTTATCAAAACTATTTTTATACATTTTATAGAAATAAAATAGGGAATAGAAAGATTTCCCACTGTGTTAAAGTGGGATTCTAAAATTTTTTAACAATAAAACTTAAACTTAAAACATAAACTTCCTTGGAGGAATCGATTTCAATAGTTTCACTTTTTACAGCAATTTTTCCATTTTTTGATAATAATTTTCCTTCATCACTGAATTCTTCAATAGAATCCTAAAAAAAGGAATTTTTAAAATAAGTTTTCATTCAATTTCATTTGGCAAGTTTGTTTCAAAGTGGTGCCACGCCTCTCCCATCCTCACAAGTACCGAAAATAAGTAGCGCCAGTTCTGGAAGGTTTTATAAACAACCTTTGATTCAAAACTATTTCTATAGTTAATATATATCTGAAAAAATTTCAAATTTCCAAATCGGTTGATTTTTTTAAAGGCGATAATCCCATAAATATACAATTTCCCATAAAAACCGCGTGGATCTTGAAGACTATAAGAGATAACACTATCCGATTTGGATCTTGGACTCGTATGGTATCTCCACAGATCAAGTTTGTGTGAAAATTTAGCCACGCGCACTACCGCCTCCAAAACTGAAATCTCGTTGTAGCGCCAGTTTGTTAATATTTTTGGAAAATGTTTTGATGTAAAACTGTTCCAGTGGCTAATCTACACCTATATTTTCTGCGGAGAATCCATACCGTTAATTCTTAAGCTTCAAAGGTTAGGTAAATTCTGAAAGGAAGAGATGAGTACCGGGTATAATATAGTCTGGATTCTCGACTATACCCGTCTTTTTGTCTTTTTTAATATAATTAAACACGTGCTGTATGATATTGGTACACAATGCACACTGTTCAGCACCACTAAAAATTTGTTCTGTAATTTTTTCAAATGGAGACGAGTCCAAAACGGTAGTTTCTCCTCCATAACTAGCTGTACGCATGCATTAGTCAATTCTGTTGTGGAAAGAGCAATGGATATCCTTGTTTTCATAGGGCTCGAACGAGTCTTATTTGTTTACATCTGTCGTTATTATTATTCATTGGGTATCATTACTATTGGGTATCTTTAAAGGATTAACCTCCATACATACGCTACAGCTACATACGCCTCGTGGTTGAAAAGATATTGCAATTTAATTTTTATTTTCAATATAAATGTGAAAAACTTTTATTTCCAATTTTTATAACTGTTTAAAGTTGAAATATATAAAGGTTGAAAAATAAGAGTTATTTCTTAATTTTTATACTCTTGCAGAGGGTATTATAATTTCCGTAAAAGTGTGTAACGCAGTTAAGGACATATCTCTGACCTTTTAATGTATATATATTTTTGATCAGGATCGCCTCCTGATATAATATATATAAGTTGATATAAGCATGTCCATCTGTCTGGATTGATGGAAAATGACAAAACTTTGGAGTTTTTTAAGGAAGAGATTTTGGATTCTAAGGATTATATTTTTGGCAAAATAATACGAGACGACATTTTAAAAAGATCAGCCGTTTATATTCTATAGCTGTCATAAAACTGAAAGATTAGAAATGATCCAACTTTCACGTTTTTATACCCTTGCAGATGGTATTATAATTTTGTCCAATAGTGTGCAAAGCAGTGAAGGAGACATCTCCGACCCTATAAAGTATATATATTTTTGATCAGGATCACCTCCTGAGTTGATATGAGCACGTCCGTCTGTCTGTCTGTCTGTTTCTACGCGAACTAGTGTCTCAGTTTTAAAGGTATTGGCAAAATATTGCGAACCAGACCAAACCGACCATTTCAAAAGGATCTGCCGATCCTATAGCTGCCATATAACTGAACGATCGAAAATGACGCAACTTTCGTGTTTTCGAAGATAGAAAGTTGGAAATTCGAACAGATTCTATTTTTGTATTGTTTACCCAACCTACCAATTTTCATGAGGATCGGCCGACTATATCTTATAGCTGCCATATAACTGAACGATCGGAAATGATATTTGGTAGAAATACCATCTTTGGTGTTCTTGAAGATAGAAGTTTGGGTCTTTTTATATTTTGTTTTGTAATGAATTGGTTATATTATGATATTCTCATAAGGATCGGCCAAGTATTGTATATCCGATTTTTACGATATATATTCGGTTTTAACTGCAAGGGTATATGAACTTTGTTTCCGCCCGAAGTTAGCTTTCCTTTCTTGTTAAATTAAAAGTCTTGAACTTTCTACGGATTCTAAAGAATGTAACATAGAAAATGAATAATCTGCGACCCCAAAAAGTATATATATTCTTAATCAGCGTCAACACACGAGTCCATATAGCCATTTCCGTCTTTCCGTCCGTCCATCTGTCCGAATGAACGCGTGTATCTCAGAGACTATACGAGATAGAGCAATAGGATTTGGCATGGCTATAGGATTTGGTTCCCACACAATGCCCACGCAGCTCAAGCTTTTTTCAAGCAATTGTGCTACGCCCACTCCCGCCCCTGAAACAGAAATCTAATGTTAGCGCCAGTTCGTTTATGTAATCTACACCTACAAATAAAAAATGTGGATAATTTTTAGAGGAGTCATAGTCTTTTAAGGGTGCTTTCCTACTGAATTTGTAGTATGGCTGTAGGTTTGTTGTTGTTTTGCCCTAGCGCAAAAACAACAGTATGCAACAAAAATTTGTTGCTGAGAATCCATATCGTTAAAGTTCAAACTTAAAAGTTAAATTGTAGGTGGAAGAGATGAAAACAGTGTATAGTTAAGTTAGTTTATACGGTCGTGCTGTGAGGTGCAAGCTATGCTCACCTGCCGAAGGAGGAGCGTTTCTAGAATGCTGGGGGCTTTTATCTCGGATCCCACCGGAAGAGGCCGCCACCTAGCGCTTCTAGGGAGGAGCACAAGCCGACAGCGACAGAGGGCGCCTGTACAAGCTCTCTTTTCTCCTAGAGCTAAGAAGACCATACAGCAAGGCGCGGCGCACGCACCATCCGCGCAGGACGTAAAACGAGGATGGTGGACAAAGATGTTAAGAGTCGCGGATCTGACCGAATGGCAATCATACCGCCGTTGCGGTACACGCGTGAATTGGTTCACTGGCTACCGAGAAGGGACGGTATAACCCCCATCGTTTCTCGATGGATAAAGCTTCGATGGATGTCCCACCCATTTTTCGTCTCTCTCCCCCATCCAAAATCTACCACATTGCGTCTGACCCACATTGGGCGCCGGCGTAGTCTGCGTCTGCGCCACATTGGCCGGCAGCTATGTTACCTGGCAGAAGGTATAAAAAACGAAACGAAAAAGCGAAATGCCAGAAGAAAGCATAACTACTCCAGGTGGCACCAACAATAGAGGAAATCCACCCGCGGAAACCCACTTATGTTCCAAAAAAAACTTCTCCACCGGCGGCGCACTTGTCCGGTAAAATAAAAAGAACCCCCTCCAAGCAGATAGCGAGCGAACACACCCCAAAGAGGCATCTGGACCAGCTGTTTCTGCCGTGTAATTCCCAACCAACTGCTCTTTTCCAACTGTGTGGCCAGAGATATGAGCGGCTGCGTTATGTCGGCTGAGCAAGCTGAAAGCCGCTAAATTAAGAATCAAGCGCCCAGACCTAGTCAACTCTCAACTCTTTCATCTTAAATCAAATCTTTAAATCCATTCTTAATGAATTTCTTCTGTCTCATGAACGACCTCATTTCGTCTTGGACAGCATGACAATTATCACAAAAATAATGGAGACCAGGCCTACGGGAAAAGGGATCCAAAAACTGAGCCATCAATGTATGGAAGGCTGGGATGAGGAGGTTGTCTTATTGCAAGACTTCATTGAGCAGACGAGTTTAAATTGCATTTTAATAATAAAAAATATATAAGTTAAAAAGTTAAAAAAAACACTGTACCTTGAACCACTGTGCCAAATAAGAGCCAAAGTGGGAGCTTTGGAAAAAGCGATTGGAGTGAGCAGGGAAAAATGGCCAAAATAGAGATAAGAATCTCTATTCCACACGAAAAAAAAAAAAAAACAGAAACAGGAAGAAACAGAGCCGAAGTATGCTTGGAATTGAAATTAAGCAAATTATTAATTGGCTTCCAAATATGTATACGGCTTATGTTAAAACTTAAGTTTCTCTAAATTCAATTCTCAAGTAAGTAAACACCGGCTTACAGCAAGATTTATCATAAACGCAGTGCGCACAAAAAAACGCAGATCCGAAATTCCTTAGAGTTAAGAGTCAGTTTTTAATGCAACATATATAATAAGCCAAACTATATGAGAACATGTATCAAAACTATTTTCATACATTTTATAGAAATAGAATAGGGAATAGAAAGATTTCCCGCTGTGGTAAAGTGGGATTCTAAAATTTTTTTAGCATAAAACTTAAACATAAAAAAATTTCATATTTGACAAACCTTGTCCTGGGAGGAATCGATTTCAATAGTTTCACTTTTTACAGCAATTTTTTCATTTTCTGATAATAATTTTCCCTCATCGCTGAATTCTTCAATAGAATCCTAAAAAAAGAATTTTAAAAATAAGTTTTCATTAAATTTCATTTGGCAAGCAAAATTGTGCCTCGCACAAATTCCAAAATTCTGTAGCGCCAGCACTGGAAGGTTTTATGAACAACTTTGATGCAAAACTCTTTCTATAGTTAAAATGTATCTGAAGACAATTTTCAAATTACCAAATCGGTTGATTTTTAGAGGAGATATACGCATATTTAGTAACATATCAAAAAAATTTCTTTAAGTGTATATCAATACATTTTTTAAACCGAAACTCAAGCCTTTTGACTTGAAATTCGTAATTACGTTGCAAATAGCCGTATTGCACTTTTAGTAAAAACACAAACATTTAATTATTCAATATTTAATTATTATACAAGCGTTAAAATGGCTGAACCAGTGGCACAAGTCCATTTGCTCTTCGAACTACACCTTTATCAGGCTTTAGCCCAGATTAGGTAAACTCCCAATTTTAGAGGAAGCATCAGGAAATTAAGTGCATTCATCAGACGGATCGAATATATTTTAAATTTGTATCCATTAACTGTCCGCGTCAAACAGCTGTATTCTTCAGTGCAATCGAGATGCAGTTATCACGAGATGCTCAGCGACTGTACCAGCTATGCAAAACCCAAACCGCATGCAAAGAATTACTAAGACGACTCTACAACACTTTCAATGGAAGCATTCGTAATTTCGTCGACGAACTAGAATATAAAATATTTGTCATAACAAACAAATTGTCGTTAGAAAACGATAATTTAAATATAATGATTTATACTAATGATATAAATAATACTATAAAAGATGTAATGAAGAGAAAACTTTCTGACAGGTTTTCATTAACTCTGTCATGACATATGACATGACATACAAGAAGCACAACAAGAAGTGTACGGGCGTTATTTATCTTTTCGATTTATCACTCCATCTTCAGCGAGCTTAGAATCCACCCAGATTTCTCCTGTAATCTTCGTAAAGCTTTACTTGCTTTTCTCTCCCTTAGTAAAGTAGTTTTTTAAGAAGAGTCGTAGAGCAAGCAAGGCAATCGGAGTAGTGGATAAGGTCAGGGATAAACCACGAGGGATTAAAGCTGGCCCATTTAAAATAATTGTAACCTTACCAACATAAACATCATTAGGTAATTAGCAAGTAAATAAATAAATGAAGTTCGAGGCCTAACTCTGGCTAGTCGTTTGGATTCAAAAACCCCCTAGCAGAACTGTGCCCAACTATGACATTCCACCCATGAAAGGCATTTGTCACAACAAGGAGGTTGTTACGAAACTGGTTTTGATTAAACGAAATCACAACATAACTTAAATCAAAACGGACAAGATAGGAGAAATAATCAAAGAAATAATAATTTCCAAGGAAATATTTCTTATTATAATAATATAATGAACAAAGTTATAATCAGCAAAGTAACTTTAGACAACCAAATGATTATGATCAAAACTTAAATCACGGCGGAGCTCAGAATCTTATGATTTATCGGCAGCCACAATCTTCTTTACATGCTTTCAATTCTAACAAACAGTGAAAAGACAATATGAACATTCAAGCGGTCAATCTAAAAAGTAAATCGAAAATGTTCATCAGATAGCCTCGGATCCAATCGAAGAAATCAAAATCGTTACATCAGAACAACAACTGGCCATGAGTTGAATTTTGACCTTTAAAACATTCAATCCCAACCAAACATGAAGATCCTATTTACAAAAACCCTTATAAGTACACCCAAGCTCATGATACATGAATACGTAAATCGAAAACCCCCCAATTGTTCACCAGTATGGATAGTCCCAAAGAAAGTGGATGTTTCAGGGAAAAGAAAATTTCGAATAGTAATAGACTATAGAAGTCTAAATGAAATAACTGCTGATGATAAATATCCGATACCAGTTATAGATGAAATACTTGAAAAACTTGGAAGGTGCCCATATATTCCAACAATTGACCTTGCAAAGTTTTTTCATCAAATTCAAATGGATGAAAATTCCATGTCAAAAACAGCCTTTTCAACCAAAAATGGACATTACGGATACACCCGAATGCCATTTGGTCTGAAAAATGCACCTGCAACTGTCCAACGTTACATGAATAATTTATTAAAAGATTTCATATATATCCGCATTGCCTTGCTTATATGGATGACATAATTGTATTTTCTACTTCATTAGAGGAACACATATTGTCTATAATATAACTATATAACTATATATCTATATAACTTCGAGAAGCTAATCTTGACAAATGTGAGTTTATCAAAAAGGAATCCGAGTTCCTTGGACATAAAATAAAAACAAAGAAAATAAAGCCAAACTCCAAAAAAAATTTAGGCAATACAATAATTTCCAATACCAAAAAACCAACAAGAGATAAAATCATTTTTAGGTTTCTGTGGATTTTATAGAAAATTCATACCTGATTTTGCCAAAATTGCAAAGACCATGACTTTAAACTTAAAGAAAGGTTCCACTATAAATGTAGAAAAGAATATAAGAAATTAAAACTTCTCATTACATCAGACCCAATTATAAATTTGGTCTGACTTTGAAAAATTATTTTCTTTTACAACAGATGCCATAGGCGCAGTATTATCACAAAATCATCACAATTTGCTATGCTAATAGAACTTTTCAAGAACATGAAATGAATTATTCAGAAATAGAAAAAGAGCTTCTGGCTCGTTTTTGGGTTAGAAGTCTGGGCCACTAAATATTTTAGGTCTTATCTCTTTGGTAGAAAGTTTGAAATTCTTAGCGGTCAAAGACCATTATTTTGGCTTCATAATATAAAAGAACCAAATATGAAATTACAGAGATAAAGAATAAATTCAAGTGAGTTTTACTTCACTATTAAATATTGGCAGGAAAAGGAAAACCAGATATCTGATGCTCTGTCAAGAGTGAAGCTAGATGAAAACTTTTTAGGAGAATCGCCCGATAGTTCACAATCATTCCTCACAATAGCAACAGTACATAGTGCACAAGAAGACAATCAGAATTATATCAGAATTAAATTGAACCAATACTTTCATAAAACCAACCCTAAAATAATTTATAAAGAAATGACCCATGAATATGCAAAAGAATTAATAAACGAATACTTCTGCTCCAAAAAAAAGTGTTCCTTGTGAAATAGATTTCATAATATTTCAAAATGCTTATATAGAGACTATCAACCCAAATAACTTTGGAAAACGAGTACAATATTAACAGATGTCCAAACATTTGATGAATTCAAAAAAATTTTTTTAAAGCTCCTTAAAAAAAAACAAGCTTTTTAAAGAAAACAAGAAAGGAAAGCTAACTTCGGGCGGAGAGGAAGTTGATATACCATTGCAGTTAAAACCGGATATATATCGTACACATCGGATATAGTTGTCCGATCCTTATGAGAATATCATAATAAAACCAATTAATTACAATAAAATATCTAAAACAAGAAAGGAAAGCTAACTTCGGGCGGAGCCGAAGTTTATATACCCTTGCAGCTAAAACCGGATATATATCGCAAACATCGGATATAGTTGGCCGATCCTTATGAAATTTGGTAGGATGGATCAAAATTTAATCTGTACCAAGTTCCAGCTTTCTATCTTCAAAAACACGAAAGTTGGGTCATTTCCGATCGTTCAGTTATATGGCAGCTATAGGATATAGTCGGCCGATCCTTATGAAATTTGGTACGTTGGATCAACTGACCAAAAATAGAATCTGTATTAAATTTCAGCTTTCTATCTTCAAAAAAACGAAAGTTGGGTCATTTCCGATCGTTCAGATATATGGCAGCTATAAGATATAGTCGGCCGATCCTTATGAAATTTGGCATGTCGTAATGTTTTGCCAAAAATAGCACTCATGTCAAATTTGAACTCTCTAACTCTAAAAACACCAAAGTTATACCATTTCCGATCAATCAGTTATATGGCAGCTATGGGATATAGTCGGCCGATCCCGGTCGTTCCGACTTATATACTGCGTGTAAAGGAAAGAAGGGTGTGTGCAAAGTTTCAAGACGATAGCTTTAAAACTGAGAGACTAGTTCGCGTAGAAACAGACAGACAGACAGACGGACAGACGGACATGCTCATATCAACTCAGGAGGTGATCCTGATCAAGAATATATATACTTTATAGGGTCGGAGATGTCTCCTTCACTGCGTTGCACACTTATGGACAAAATTATAATACCCTCTGCAAGGGTATAAAAAAAAAGTCCCAAGCTTCTATCTTCAAAAATACCAAAGTTGGTATTTCTACCAAAAACCATTTCCGATCGTTCAGTTATATGGCAGCTATAGGATATAGTTTGCCGATCCTTATGAAATTTAACGGGTCGTAATGTTTTGGCAAAAATAGCTCTCATGTCAAATTTTATTAGTTATTATACCATTTCCGATCAATCAGTTATAAGGCAGCTATGGGATATAGTTCGCCGATCCCGGTCGTTCCGACTTATATACTGCGTGCAAAGGAAAGAAGGTGTGTGCAAAGTTTCACGACGATAGCTTTAAAACTGAGAGACTAGTTTGCGTAGAAACAGAAAGACAGACAGACAGACGGGCATGCTTATATCAACTCAGGAGGTGATCCTGATTAAGAATATATAACTATACCTTATAGGGTCGGAGATGTCTCCTTCACATCGTTGCACACTTTTGGACAAAATTATAATACCCTCTGAAAGAGTATAAATTTTATTTTCCCGATTATCAAAGATTAATTGAAAATAAAACAAGAAAGGAAAGCTAACTTCGGGCGGAGCCGAAGTTTATATACCCTTGCAGCTAAAACCGGATATATATCGCAAACATCGGATATAGTTGGCCGATCCTTATGAAATTTGGTAGGATGGATCAAAATATAATCTGTACCAAGTTCCAGCTTTCTATCTTCAAAAACACAAAAGTTGGGTCATTTCCGATCGTTCAGTTATATGGCAGCTATAGGATATAGTCGGCCGATCCTAATGAAATTTGGTAGGTCGGATCATCTGAC